ACCGGTCAGCAAAAAGCACAGGAATCTGAGACGCACTTCAAACACGAAAAAATAAGTTCCTCAATCTGAGCGTACCAAAAACCCGGTAAAATAATCATGGTTTGAGCTTATTCTATCATAATCATGAACCTTAAAGATAGCCCTGACCTTCCCCTTAGCCTGCAATACAAAATGATAGGATGCTCTGGGAAGAGTTGAAAAAGAAGCCCGAACTTCTCAAAATAGAGCCTTTGACGGCTTGGTCGGGGAGAGGACTTTATGCATCAACATCACCTAAGACTACTTCGTGCAACGCTCATTAACGTCATCGACTTAGAGGATGAAACCAGATGGCAATGTAAGAATCCTGCTTGCTATACCGTCTACTGGGTGCAATCTCATCTGGAACATTACTAAGGTATCTCACAGGAAGTTTTTTGCAGAAGGTGTACCAGAAAAAACGAACCCTAAACACACAAAATCTGATATTCGGGAATGGAAATTCATCAGGCAGTCTTTGGAGCTCAAAAACACTTTGAATCGACAAGTGGTGAGACTAGCCAAGAAGGATGGGGATTCTAGACCTTGGCTGATAAAAATAACCTTCCCATCGTCCAACATGGCGGCTTCAACTTAACAATTTGTGCTAACAGGCGCCAGTTGCCAACTGGATGCCCATTGGGATTTATTACCACACACGGTCTTATGCGCTTCAAAGCAGTTTGTTTCACTAACGGCCCCCAAAACCTACAAACAACCTATAGTCATCAAGAATAGCACTCGTCGTTTGCTAGGCTGCAAAAGGTACTGCTGGGCCTTATACAAACGAACTGGTAATAACGGCGCATACAGGCAATACGAAAAAATAAGAAAAATATGCACAAAGGCGATAATAGAAGACAGGCTTTAGTACCAGATAAAGCCTATCGATAAATTTGTTTCGAATCTGAATACCTTATTCCGTTATGCAGCCTCTCTTCGATAAGCCAAAATCAGAGTTTCTCGTGTGCTAGATCCTAATGGCTCAACCAACAACGACGGTGAAGCCCCTAACATTCCAGTTGAACAGTGCTCCTGGGCATTTTAACTGACCCACACTGACTATATTGATGAAAGCTTCATCTGCAACTCAAGAGGACTTTCAAAGGTGAACCTGATCACTGATTTGGTGTACCGGTTGCCGCAGCACCTAGAAAAGAACACTGCTCCTGGCCCGAATATGGTCCATTCTGATATACTGATCGGAGCAGCCCTAATCTTGGCAACACCGCTTATCGTGCTGTTCTCACATTCGCAGAACCGAGGCACATTACCGGCAATTTGGAAGCTGTTCCACATCACACCAATTTTCAATGGAGGTCGATGCAACGAACCTTCGAGCCACCGACCAGTAGCACTTCTCTCTATGCCTTCAAAAATCATGGAGTCCCTGATATGCGATTGTATACACGACTATTTATCATCCATAAACTTCTTTTCACTCCATTTTATGCGGTGTTTTTATTCATTTTGCTTAAAATTTATAGCAACTTGATGCTCTGGTCGTAAATCTGATACTCTATGTTACGAATTACCCTATTTCCTGGTGCAATTTTCATGTTTCCTTGATTTGTTTTACAGTTATTTGCTGTAGATAGATTGAAAATTGAAGTTCGCCATCAATACTTAAAGTCTATAGGCTCGGGGTTTGCATTTGGCGTAACCTTGTAGGTAACTGTCTGTTTGGTATCGCTGTTGTTTCTGCGTTTCATTAATACTAAACTATCAACTCTGTTTTCAAGGGCTTACGTCTTGTATTGTTTGACAAATATTAACGGTTTCTTGTTTTCATTATTCTGGGGAAGTCCCGGTAATATTGAGCACTAAGATTTGTATAACGAAATGAACTTGGGTTGATGAATCAGTAGGAAATCTCTTTTCTATAAGAAAACTTCATGCGCCTTTTTATGCACTGTTTGTGGTCTCTAGCCATAATTCCTTCCTGACAACTCCCTCAATTATTTCTCAATAGTGATTATTCGTCAGAAAATGGGCTTTTAAAACGTTTGTCGATAATGAAGTAACTTTTGTATTGGCCAGAACAACCCAATAAATTCGAGGTGAGCCTGACTGTGACGGCCGGCCGTTTTTTAGTTAAATTGTCTCAAGAGATCGCAAGTTGCACTTGCCAAATCGAGTATCGTTCAACTGGAGTAAGAATATGTCCACCGGATTTTGTTTTTCCCCTCTTTTCGATTAGTCTTTACCTGCAGATTCTCGGGTTGTCAGGCAATTACTGTCCACACCTAGGTACTTTGGTCTCATTGCTATCCCACTGTCATGAATTTTAGGATATGACAGTCAATTATTTTGAATTAGCATACTTCTTATAACTACTGGCAGATAAGTCAAATACACCGTAAAATCTTTTTTAACCGTTTATTTGGGGGTAGAGTTTGCCATACAATCCTAAGTTCTCCTTAGAGTTCAACAAGCGTTTGTCGTGGATACGGAGGATCCTAGAGCTCATATAAATCGAATGGTTTATGTGGCGCGTATCTATTTGGTGCCTCCTTGTACCGAAGTTAGTGTTCTAATAAGTACATAATAACCTGTTGGTTGTCACGGGAAAATAAATCAAAATTTTTCCAATTAATGCGGTTCGCCGCAGCGCTACAAATATTGAATTGTAGGCTCAGAAGATCCAATCCAGCGTTCATCCTAGGTTCGTATTCAGGACCAGTGTCCCAGCTAAAGTTTTTCTAAAAACAAGGTTGGATGGAATTTGTAACTTTAAGTTTCTAACAAAAGGAATTCGGTTTAATAGGGTACAAAATATGCACCAGGGTGAATAAAATGACAACACTGAGAAGTGTATATCAGGAAAAACCATATGATAGCTACATAAATGAACAAGAGTAGTGTTGTTTAAAGATACAGTTTAGTTCAAGACTGTCGAAGTAGACTTTGAAGTTGATTGTACTGGACTATTGGGGAGCGGCGGTAAGGTTGTTGTTTCAGTCGCTGTGATTTTCATAAATTTAAATCTCATTTTTAATTTCAAGGTGGACCTTTTATTTTCAAATGCAGCTCTTGCCTTTAAAAAAAACGGTAGGAAATCCTACTTCATAATCGTCTTACCAATTTTATCTTATGCTAATGTGATACAAAAACCTGTGTTGACGCACATTTATCTACGACTCTGTTGATTATGACTGACTAGCAAACCAGGATCTCCACTAGCTCATACTCTGGAACATTCCTGGTAGGACTCTAATTTATGGACGAGCCAATCAGAAGCGTTTATGGAATTTCAAGGTCACGGCGCTAAGTTCAGTGCGAGATGCTCACATTCGATCGTTTTACAGCAGATTTTAGAGAATAGGTGATCGTTGAGAGACTACAGCAGATGGGACTATTAAGAAGTTCCTGTGTCTGTGACTGCGGCAATTAAATGACCGCAGCACGATGTGCAGACTGTCGCGATGACATTGTATTTCGTTGTACTATATGTTGTAGAAAAAAATCTGCTCGAACTGGCACTTTTTTTGCCCGGTCACGGCTAAGGCTAAGACAAACCATGATAATCGTTGCAAATTGGATCATAAAGTCTCCAGTAACATTAGCTGCGGCTATACCGATGATTGGAAAGCGTATAGATGCCTCTCGAGACTTGGTTTTGTGCATCATGTGGTGGTGCACAAACGTCATTTCTTTGATCCAACGACGGGGGGTCCATACAAACAACATTGAGGGCATGTGGTCTAGGCTGAAGTATTTTTTAAGACCCTACCACGGCTCCAGAGGACGATTATTATGGAGTCATATGGACGAGTTCTTATACCGCATGCACTGTGATTTCAAAACTTCTGGACCTATATCAAACCTCAACAAGTTCTTAAATAATGTAAAAGAAGAATATCCATTGTAATTCATCACTTTTTTATTATATATTTTCACTTCATACTAACTCTCTTCTGATTGGCTAATGTCCTCAAGGTCACTTAAAAATTCGTTCAAAGGTCGTCCATAAAGTAGAGTTTCACCACATTCCTTATAACGGTTAAACCCACTAAGTTGCATGAGCATAAGAAACCCATTTATGGGGTCTTGATGAACCAATACAGTTATCTTTTATTCCACTGCCCCTTGCCGTAACTTGACCGCCCCCACTTTTTCCGCCCATTGCTAGTACAAAAAATAATGTGTAGCGTGGGATTCTGTGGAACATCTGTGAAACCTATTCGTTATTTTTTCATGGTTGTCATTACAGATAGTTTATGAATAAATGGTTAATTATCTTTGGAAACATCCTCCGGTATTTTTTTGCTTCATTTGTTCTCTGAGTAAATTTTATTTCGTACATGCCTAATTCCTTCCACTAATGCACCTAAAATATTTTTACTTTACAAACAACATGGTTAGGGGATTTTTTGTAAAGTTTTTAGGGATTCAATTACATGAAATCCAGTAGTTGTGAATCATTACAATCGATAAGGTTTGAGGAGTACTTGTTTTTAGTGAGTGAGAAGCGTGTTTCGGTATTGCTACTTTCATATTGATGCTTTGTGGATGATAACATGGGGCTCATTGAGTCATTGTAAACATTTCAAAATTAAGGTAATCAAAACACCATACAAGTCAACATACACTTGTGTCACTATAGTTTTAGTGCAGTGATTTCTTCTATTACCTGCCATTCGTCTTTATTTGTAACTGTTGTTTGCAAACGGATGATGCTAATAAGTATTCAAACTCATATTTCACATTAATCCAACGGTTTCCTAAGCTGTTTAGGAATTTTATTTTTTTCAGTGAGACAGGATTTAAATTCTAAGTTCAAGCTACTACTTAGTTGTTTAATAAATAACGTTTTAAACCTATGTGTATGTTATTGACTACTTTTCTTGTTTTTTTTGTAGATTTTTTTAAAACAAATGCTCGTGTATACTACCTTTATTTGATTGACTACCTCGTTCCACATCAGTTTTATTGTGTCAATATTTTCACCATTTAGAAGTCTCCCACTCTGAAACACATAAATGTTTAGTCGCGTACCTTTAGCTGATGATTTTAACCATCTCGCGCTTTGTGCTCGTGCAACTTTATCTCACCAGGCTGAAAAAAAGATTCACTCAATTCTGAATTGTGGACAACTTTCATTCAGGAGTAATTTAGGTAACTCTAAGGATGAAATTATGCATATACAGCAGATTGTTACCAGTAATAATGGCAACATTAATCCTAGTATAATACCTACTAATAGTGGAAATAATACCATTACTGCTACTACTACTACTACTTCCAACAATAATGTCCAATCAAATCGATGTGTAACTGTACGTCATTCAACTAATTCTAATGAACGTGTAAAACGTCATCATTGTACAGATTGTTCAAAATCATTTCATCGTGCCAGTGATCTAGTTAAACATCGTCGTACTCATACAGGTGAAAAACCATTTGCTTGTATGCAATGTGGTCGAGCGTTTGCCGATTCAAGTAGTTTATCTGCGCATAAACGAATACACACTGGAGAACGTCCATATCATTGTTGTGATTGTGGCAAAAGTTTTTCCGTATCAAGTAGTCTGGTAAAACATAGACGAATACATACCGGTGAAAGACCGTATCGTTGTGAATTTTGCGGCAGATCATTTTCCGATAACAGTAGTTATAGCGCACATAAAAAACGTAGTCAGCGGTGTACACCTATTACCAGTAATAATAACAACAATACATTTAGTCTTGTTGGTAATGTAGGAGATTGTGAAAAAACAAAGTGTGAGGGTTGTGCTTTTCTCGATCCACATACACAAGCAGTTATACATCCTGCAGCGGCGGCAGCTGCTGCCGCTGTATCTGTTGAACACTTTTTAACGAATTCAAATATTGGTGTGTCTAAAATAAATGGTGGTGAATTTTGTCCAACTTCTTTAAATTTAACATTTCCTAATCCACCAAATACAAATACTATGCCAGCTACAGCATTAACATGAATTACATTGAAAATTGTTGCATTTGACATAATAATGTATAAATATGATTTTAGTAGTACATATATAATGTTTACTTTTACCCTACTGAACCTATTAGAAATGGACACTGTTTTAATTCACTACGACAATCATTTGTGTTTTAAATTTCCAGTAATATCAACATATAAGTATTACCAGAACTAATACATTTGCTCATTTTTTCGCGATACACTCATTTCATTTTTCGTAATTTACTCATCCTTTCAAACTGTGTCCACATGTTTTTGCTCTTTGTGGGAAATTATAAAAAAAATTATTGTGTGAGTGATGAATATGTTGTTTGAACTTAAATATACTACTTACAAATAAGCATGTGTATTTGCAAGTTGGTTTTCATGTTACTTTCATTGTTTATTAGAATATTATTACAGTTTTTCTTTGTTACGATTGTATATCACCAAACATTATTCTGGTGTGTATACATCCTATTGTGTTTCTGATTTTTGATTTCTACAAGTTCTTATTCATAAATATTTATATGTTGCATAAGTATTATTTCAAATATCACTTATTGTTTTATCAGTTAATCGTTGGTTTTGTTCGAATTAACTTGTTATCTAATTCGCATCTCTTCGTGGTGGGATATACTTTGATAGACTAATATTCCTGTGGAATTTTCAGTAGCAACAGTATTTAGTTGAACTGTCAGATTCTTCTTAGTCATTATGATGACTGCAATTACCTGTCTCAGTATTCATCATATCTTTATGGCTGATATGTCGAAAAAATAATACAGTTCTCTTTTTATTCGCTACGATAGTTCTACAAAATTACAGTGGGATAATCACAGGTATAAAATATATTGAGTGTGATTATCCAGTTAGAAGTCCCAAGTGTATACAATACGACTTTTATTTGCTTCTACCGTTTAGTGCTAACTATGACCATAAACTACTGACTAATACCATATATAGTAAAAATTTAGTCATGACTTAACGTTTGAAAGTAATGCAAGAAGGCATGGGTTTATATTTGTCTTAGACCGGAGTTTCCGATATAGAGACAGACGAGCTGAAGCTTCAAATTTGTGTCGAGTTTAAGTAAGCGAAAAATGTACCAGTTGTTTGGTCTTATATTTAATGTACTTTGCTGAAAAATTACGCTACCTATATGTTTGACTATTCGCTCTATAGAATACAATAAATAGTAGTTAATAGAATTCGACCACTGCTCAAGCATAGACAACATAAGATTTCTAACAACTTATTTACATATTAGGGTGTTTGCATCTCAATCCTAAAAATGGTGGACGGGAATGGCATAATGAGCTCATTGGTAAGATCTCTAATTGATTTCTACACTGCTTATCTACTCTGACCATCGAACATAATCTGATTCTTATATTGTTTCGCTAAGGTGATTTTTAGAGTAAAATTGCGCGGGACTCAAAGGTCCAGGATTCGAGTCCCGAGTGCAGGGCCATGGATGAGCACTGTTGAGGAGTATTTCTTCGAACTCTTGTCTGTCTGTTAAACAATGAGTTACTTCCTGCCCAGTTTGCACTCTACATCACTGATTTTATCCTCTGATGCATTTGAAACACATCGTTCGTGAACTTTTCGTATTCTGAGCCTTAGTCACCAAGTAATTTGAGATTAAGCAATTCCGTGAGTCAGATTTAGTTAAGATACCTTAATAACCTAAGTTCATTCTTGTTCTGTTCCAATAAATTTTGACTAGATCAGTGAAGAATTATTTAATCCAAGTATCGCAGCTAAAAGTCACCGTGATCTACTCTTAATCGAAGAAAATTTATTTTAAAGAATACTAAATTTCTTTCATTAAACTGCAGTATCGACTACTTTACAACTTGATAGGGAAAAATTAATACAAATAACATTTCTAATATTAAGTATTTCACTTAACGGTAAGTAACAGTGTTAAGAACCCTTCACTCATCTTAATTAGCTAATCACTTCACTAGTTACAATCATATAATAACATAGAATATGTACAATGTTTATTGATTCAAATTACTGAGATTTCTATAAACCAATATAAAGCGAAATTCAATCAAAAGAGGAAAGCTACAAGATGAACATTGGACAGAATACAAGTGGATATGAAAAAATGTATGTGAAAGAGCAAGAAGCTTAAAATTTAGATAAATGACAACTGATTTTATATACGTCATTTTGCTAGATTTTTAACTTTGTTATCGCAAAAAAAAAAACAGCCGCTAATCTGGATATGATTTTGCGTATATCAATCAGTAGACCTGTACTTTTTAACACATCAGAGGCAGAGACGTATATTCAGTGACTTCACAGAATTGTTACCATATACGAGTCATTTTTACACCATATATAATTCCTTTTCAAAAATAATATGAACGTAGAGTGACTAATGTTTCAAACAATTTAACTATGAAAATCTTACTACATAAACTTTATTATCTTTAAGAAAGCACGAACAAAGAATTCAGCAGAATAACAGATTCATTTCGTTAGGGTTTCGTATCAGCAGCTTGTAACCGATAGTGTTTTAAAATAATAAAAAAATATATTTATTACATTGAAATTGTCTAGATGTTTATATGTATATATCATTATTGTTATAATGGGCGGTATCCGAGATCTAATATTGATACACAATGTCCCAAGTTTTGGGAAATTTGGTGAAATCCGCTAAGTCAAATGACGTTTACCAAGATTTAGGGGGAATTTCGGGGTTTAGATGCCATTTTCCCCAAAATTGGGCACTGGGATGCTACACGCTAATCTCCCACTTGACTACTTGAGCGAGAACATAATAGCAAGCGAGAAGACATATTTGTCTATCGAATAACTTGCACAAATACTCATTTATATACATTCATATCTACCCTTTAGAAAACTAATCCATTTTTTGGCCAATTATATTCACTTGTCCTTCAGGTCATTTCAGATCACCCACAAGTGACCTCATTTAGTTACTTCTGATTGGGTCACCATATCAATTATGATGGGTTGGCGATTCAAACAGAATGTAATGAGATTAAAGGAATAAAAAAGTTGTAAGTAATGATATATATATTCAAGGTTTATCTTGAAAAGATTAAATTTAAAGAAGCTATTGGTAAAATGCTGTATTATGGGGGGTATGTTGACGGTGCTTTTGTTGCATGTAATGGTTAACAATGAGCAAAATATCTGCTGAACCTTTTCAAATACGCTCATCAAAGTATCCAGTTTATTATGAAACATTAAAAGAATAACAAGTTACACCTTGACATCACTATAAAACGGAAGGAGGATAGTAAAAACTAACATTTACTTTATCAAAAAGAAAAACATGAAATGGAGTTTATCTGACTTTCAAAGATTTTGATCAATTACTTATGGAATGTTACTGATCAAGACGCTATTGTACATAATAGGAAGGATATGTACTACCGAACCACTGGAAGTAGAATTAATGAACGTTAAAAATTATCTAAGAAACAACGGGTATCTATAGAAATTTATTAGGCGAAGTAAAAATAGAACGCCTGAAGAAACCATACTAGACAAATACTTATTTTTATTTAGCTTAAATCCAAAGTTGATGGTGTTGCAGCAACAATAAACAGAAGATTAATGATCATACTGACCAGAACATATCCTGCAGTCAAGTTGATTAGTTTACACGAAGCAACATTCTCTCTACAACAATCTAAGATTAATTGGTATCTATGCATATCTAATTCTGAACGTATCTCCCCACGTATCTAGGTAGGTAGAACAGAAAGGTCATATGTTTGGTTCCAAGAGCATGTCAATAGTCCTAGGTCAAAGGGAATAAGTGCTTTCAGTAGTGTTATTTCTAAACATCGCTGACAAAGAACACTAGGTTGATTCACGGGAATCTTCTAAGACTATCAATCGACAATCAAACTTAATTCTTCCTAAATTTTCCAAAGCTACAGACACCGCATTTCTCAAATGTGAATTATGTATACACAAAGAAATAGTGGTAATTCCTTCTTGTCATGGTGAAATTACCCTCAATTTACTACGTCATTTGTCCAACTCTTTCACCTATTTTGACTGAATCAGTTTTATTGCTTTCGAATTTATAATTTTATGTCTAAACTGACTAATATCAACTCATCTTATTCTTAATCACCGTCGACTTATGATTAGCTACTTCATTACATAATCAATTATTATTTTCTTTTGTTCTATGATCTCTTGTTATTATGTTTGATAATTCAAGATCTTTTCACGCATATCATTTCTACTTACAACACTTTTGTTTACATTTCTTCAATTTCATTACATTTAATTTCAATTGTTGAGATCATGAGTCACTTGAAGCTAGACCACAGTGGAAAACCTCGAAGCACTGGACGGCCGTTTGGTCCTATTGTGGGACTCCTCAGCAGTGCACATCCACGACCTCGCCCCCCTTGCGAGATTCGAACCCAGGACCTACTGTTCTCGCGTGCGAGCACTTAACCACTAGACCATTGAGCCGGCCTGCATCCAACGGTGCCAATGTCTAACTTAAACTAATCCACGAAATTGAGCGACGCATCCACTATTGTCATCAGTGAATTACTATCTCACAACTGCTGAGGAGTCCCACAATAGGAGGAAACGGCCGTTCATCGCTTCCAGGTTTCCCATGGTGGTCTAGCTTCAAGTGACTCATGATCTCAACAGTTGAAATTACTAAGATCTCCCCAAAACCCCCTTCTGATCAATACATCTATTTGAACTGTCTCACCATCATAGTGATATATGCATATCTATATCCGACCAATTTCAATGTCATAAGTTGCTGTTACGAAAACCTAACGAAATAAAATGAATTCATGTTATTCTGCCCACTTTTTATTTTTGCTCTCTTTAAAACAAAATGTTAATGAATTATATTCAGATGAAACTTTGATATGTCTATTTGCTAAGCATATAATTTCTAACTTCTTTGTTAGATAACGAGCCTATCACCAATCCTCTTTTCCTCTCTTCGCTAATTATAAAATAGAATCTCATGCT